AAAAAAAAATGTAAAAAAAAGACCCCAAAAAAGATCAACTTAAGGAATTTAAGGCTGCCAAGTATTTCCCCTTAGTCTTTAGCAGCAACTTCCCCATCAGCTCAAATTACACTCAAAATGCAAGCATTCTCACCCAAATAAAAATGTTTTAGATAAAAGACTCACAGGACTGTAGATAAATAATTTAATAAAGCCATTTAATACATAAACGCATGTATAATAATTCTGACTTCAACTGTATATATATATATATATATATATATATATATATATATATATATATATACAGTTGAAGTCAGAATTATTAGCCCCCCTGTTTATTTTTTTTCCCAATTTCTGTTTAACAGAAGCTAGAAGAGAGAAGATTTTTTTCAACACATTTCTAAACATATCCATTTTAATAACTCATCTCTAATAACTGATTTATTTTATTTTTGCCATAATAACAGTGAATAATATTTAACTAGATATTCTTCAAGACACTTCTATACAGCTTAAAGTGACATTTAAAGGCTTCACTTGGTTAATGAGGTTAACTAGGCTGGTTAGGGTAATTAGGCAAGTTATTGTATCACAGTGGTTTGTTCTGTAGATTATCGAGAAAATATAAAGTTTAAGGGGGCTAATCATTTTGTCCTTAAAATGGTGTTTAAAAAAATTAAAAACTGCTTTTATTCTAGCCGAAATAAAACAAATAAGACTTTCTCCAGAAGAAAAAATATTATCAGACATACTGTGAACATTTCCTTGCTCTGTTAAACATTATTTAGGAAATATCTAAAAAAGAAACTGTGTGTGTGTGTGTGTGTATGTATATATGTATATATGTATGTGTATGTGTGTGTATATATATATATATATATATATATATATATATATATATATATATATATATATATATATATATATATATATATATATACATACACACACACACATACACACGTGTCTGCGTAGGAGTGCATCCATATACTGTACATACAGTTTCAGTGCAGCTTCAAAAGTCTCTACATGATCCCAGCCCAGTTTTATAGGTCCTCCAAACATAAAGTAATGTCTAAACTTGATAAGGGAACGTCTTGACTTGCATAATGGAAAGAAAACGGCACAGATGATGTGCACTGTAGAGGTGTTGTAAGGCAAGCATTCGTGGTTCGTTTCGATCTGTTTACATAACTCTAACAACTGCAGCACCCGTCGCCGTATGTTGCCAAAAACTACATGAAACCCTTAAACAAAAGGGAAGGGTGACTGATAAGAAGTTTGTTGCAACGCTCTAAATGAAATCCCTTAATTAAATTACTGAGGACTTTCATGCAAGCGGGCACAGGTGTCGATTGTAAATGAAGTCACTTGCAGAGGAAGCCCGGTTACCTGAGAGCGCAAGTCCGAGAGTGCAAGCCTGAAAGTGCCAGTGCAAATCTCTATTGCACTGTTTATTTATTTCCTCTCAAAATACAAGAGTTGACACGTCTGACAGAATTATTATGACAAACTGTGCATCATATCAGAACCATGCTGTGTTTTTAAACAACATAAGATCCGTTTCTTGCACTTGTGCCTTTAATAAAAGCATGTTAAAGCGTGTCGTCTTTAAGTTTGGCATCAAACACAAGCGGAAACACCGAACAAGCAGCTCATTTATCTTTGTTTAGAGTCCTCAACAATACACTTCATCTTAATGAGCATGAAGTCATCCAGAAATACTTGCAACCAGTATTTGATGTGGGTGGCTTTAAAGTGATTAGGCAGCTCGTTACCATAAACTCAGCTAGATGGATGAAGTGTAGGGAACAAAAATTGCATATTTAACAATAAGATCACACACACACACACACACTTGGCCTGTAATGTCTGCTGTTGCGTCAGCGGGGTCTTTGGACATCCCTAAAATACAATACAGGAGATTTATGAAGCCCTCTCTCTACTGTCTGATCTGATTTGAGCCGATGGCTCTCAGGAAATGATGTTGTGAGGCCGCACATGTTTCATTTGGTTTCCCTTTCATTGCTGGCACAAGTTTTTTTGGCTTCGAGAGGGAGTCAAAAGCGTAATAACCCTCAGGTTAAGACCTCGGGCAGAGCTGTTGGTGACACAATGAAGCGAGATGGGAAAATCAAACGCTGATTTTAACCACCAAACTCTGGGCTGCATAAAGCGAAGCGTTTGAAGGAGAGTCTGCATGGAGGATTTGTGGTTGTAATCCTCTGGTGTGGACGGCTGGAGTTGAGTTTCGCGCTCTGTGTGGTTTGTCGTCTGTCTTGTGTGTGTATTGGGCTTTTCGCGGCGTGAAGACTGAAGTTTACGCTCATGGGTCGAGTGTGTGGAGGTGATGTGCATAAATCACTGAGGATTCTGGCAGTGTGGGGACATTCACACCATGCATTTTTCCATTCACCATACAAAAAAATAAAAAGTTGACTCAATTGCAAGACAACTTGCATTTTTCAATTACATTAAAAGGGCATTTAAATAGGTTACCCCTTTTTTCATATTTATTATAAGTCTTTTGTGTCCTTATAATGTGTCTGTTAAGTTTCAGCTCAAAACACCCACCGGAGTATTTATTAGAGCTGTCTGAAGTGTCTGTATTATAGCTGAAAAGGTTGTTGCTGTTTTTTTGCACTGGGCCTTTAAGGCGAGTCATCCCCGCCCACCGATCCCACTTGCCTGTCTGCTACATGCCTCAATCATGGCTGCCTCAGGAAGCAGATCTCACGTAAGGTTTGTGAGAAATACTACAGTAAGAGCTTTACCATCAGTATTTGATGCATTTTTTGTGTAGTTGCAACAATAAGTTCACACACACACACAAAGCACACACAAAGCACAGACACGTAGCGCAGACACACACACACACATACACACATACATAGCGTTGACACGCAGACACACACACATAGGACAGAAACATAGCGCTGACACACACACACACACACACACATACATAGCGTACACGCAGACACACACACACACACACACACAAAGCACAGACATGTAGCGCAGATACATACACACACAGCACAGACACGTAGCACAGACACACACACACAAATAGATAGCGTAGACATGCAGACACACACACACACATAGCACAGACACGTAGCGCGCACTCACACACACACACACACACACACACATACATAGCGCAGAAACACACACACACATAGATAGTGTAGACACGCAGACACACACACATAGCACAGACACGTATCGCAGATACACACACACACATACATAGCATAGACACGCATACACACATAGCACAGACACGTAGCGCACACACACACACACACACACACATAGCACAGACACGTAGCGCAGACACACACACACACACACATAGCACAGACACGTAGCGCAGACACACACACATACATAGCGCAGACACATAGCGCAGACACACACACACACACACACATAGATAGTGTAGACACGCAGACACACACACATAGCACAGACACGTAACGCAGACATACACACATACATAGCGTAGACACGCAGACAGACATAGCACAGACACGTAGTACAGACACGTAGCGCAGACACACACTCACACACATAGATAGTGTAGACACGCAGACATACACACACAGCACAGACACGTAACGCAGACACACACACATACATAGCGTAGACACGCAGACAGACATAGCACAGACACGTAGCGCGCACACACACAGCACAGACACACACACACACACGCAGCTGTGCTGATGAAGTGAATCTGAAGTGAATGGCTATACTTCATTACACACGTGCACTGTTTTAAAACATGTTAAACTTGTGAAACTCACTCTTGATCATGTCTGATGATGATTGATGATCCTAGCAAACTGAACAGACCTTTTACTCCCGGTTGCTTTGCACTCATCCTGTCTTGTCAATATGATTTTATGCATTACTACGGAGACATGTTAATGCGCGCAGCTGTCAATCAATATTGGTGGGCGGGGGGGACCGCACTCCTACGTCAAGCTGCGGTCGATCTGAAAACCGCTCCAATTGGTCCACCGTTTTTATGTTGTTAAATTTGGGGAAAAAAAAGGACTGTGTGTGTTTATTTCACCCCGATATGACAGTATATACACTATACTTACACATATGTCTGTCCAAACAGAGTTTTTCACCATAGGTGCCCTTTAAGTTGATTTGTGTAGCGCGTTTCACAATAGCTGTCATTTCTAAGCCGCATTACAAATGGTGCACATTAGTTCATCACAATCGAAATCAGAAAAGTTAAGGAGTTGAAATTAGATATAAACATAGTTAACATGCATAGTTAATAGTTCATTCATTTTCTTTCAGGCTTAGTCCCTGTATTAATCCGAAGTCGCCACAGCGGAATGAACTGCCAACTTATCCAGCATGTCTTTCATGCAGCGGATGCCCTTCCAGCCACAACCCATCTCTGAAAAACATCCACACACTCATTCACATTCATACACTACGGAGAATTTAGCCTACCCAATTCACCTGTACCGCATGTCTTTGGACAGTGTGGGAAACCGGAGCACCCGGATGCAAACTCCAAACTCCGAGGCTCAAACCAGCGACCTTCTTGCTGTGAGGCGACAGCACTACCTACTGCGCCACTGCTTCGCCCTCATTGTTTCAGAAATGTATAAATAAACTCCAGCACAAATACATCAAATAAACTTACTGTGGTATTTTTGACACTTAAAGTGGATCTCTGATGCATCTGTCTGTCTCTGTCACTGACTGCTGTTTATCTGAGATAACACAGAAAACACACACATGTATGGAGGAACAGTGGACGGAGCTGGAGCTCATTTGCATTTAAAGACACAGGCTACAAAAACAGCTACACTTTGATTTAAGTTAAAAATGGGCATGTTCTGCATTGTTTCATATATGATCTGATGGGTATTCTGAGCTGAAACCTTACATACACAGTTTGGAGACACAGAAGAGTTATCGTACATCTTGTAAAAAGGGTAAGATAGAAGGCAGTTAAATCTCTCTATTTTCTGTCTCAGGTTGTTTTTGAAGACCCACAGCGGGACGGCGGGACGGCAGAGCAGTTTGGCCATCCACGGAGCAGACTTCAGCACCAAAGACGTGGATAATGATAACTGCACATGCAAGTGTGCACTGATGCTCAGCGGCGGTGAGTTTATTTATGCTGCATGCAGACATCTCTACTGCAACACTACACTAAAAAAAATGTTTAGTTATTGTAAAATAAGTGGTTGCAAACAATTTAATTATGGGCTGAATTTAAACAGGCTGCAAGGTGGGTCAGTGGTTAGCACTGTCGCCTCACAGCAAGAAGGTTGCTGGTTCAGGTCCCGGCTGGGTCAGTTGGCATTTCTGTGTGGAGTTGGCATGTTCTCCCCGTGTTGGTGTGGGTTTCCTCCGGGTGCTCCGGTTTCCCTCACAGTCCAAACACATGCGCTTTAGGGGATTTGAGTAAGCTAAATTGGCGATAGTGTATGTGTGTGAATGAGTGTGTATGGGTGTTCCCCAGTACGGGGTTGCGGCTGGAATGGTATTCGCTGTGTAAAACGTGCTAGATAAGTTGGCGGCTCTTTCGCCGTCTCTCCACTCCACCAATAGCTAGTGTGTGGTGAAGCCCTTCATGATTGTGAATTGTGAATCGATTGTGAATAACATGTATAAACTATTAACTGATATTAAACAATTCTTTAGTAAGTAATTTTCTAACGGCTTGTTCATGATCTATTACTAATTTATTAGGTATAGTTATAAATCGTTAAAATACAGTTAACAAGCCATTAATAACTTGTTAACTAACAGCTTGTAAGTTATCTATTGGCTATCTATGATGCACAGTTATAAGTCATTAACAAACTATTAACTTTTATATAACAAGTCATTTATAACTTATTAACTAACGGTTTGTTAATGATTTATTAATTAGTTATAACAGATAGTTATTCTAAAGTGTTACCATTATTTTTATAATCTCTCTCTCTCTCTCTCTCTCTCTCTCTCTCTCTGTATATATATATATATATATATATATATATATATATATATATATATATATATATGTATATATATCAGAGGTTGCGTTATACTTTGTCATTGTCCGTCATTTTGACGGAGAGGGTTGTAAAAATTCCGTCATAACCTATTATTGACCGTCAATTAATTTGCATATTTTCTAATCGCTTTATTTCATTCATATTTAAATAACAAACTTGCACGATGAGCATAAAATCTAAATTATTCATTTATTTATTTGACAAAATGAAAAAAAACTTATATCTGCCTTACCTCATATCTTCCTCCTGCGTCGACCTGAACTGGGTGCTTGCCTGTACCAAATCAAACGCATCAAGTGAGACTCATGCAGAGGCAGTTGTCATTAAATTCTGTGTTTTTGCCTCAGAAAGTCGACTTCTCGTGACAGTTTTGTAGGCAGAAGCATCCTGGACTCTACAGACAGACTCAGGCCAGATATGATTAACAGGAATCGGGCCAGTGCTTTACAGCCGCATCACAAACGCATGTGCGGGAGCGAGCTGCGGGCCATACTCGGCCCGGATAACACTCGCCGATGACTGTGGGATTTCCCTGTCTTGCAAGCACTGTTTTCACCGGAAAAAAATACAGCAGCACGCGCTCCTTCAGCACCAGGGGCGCGGCTTCACCCCTCTGCGTTCAGTTGTGCATGGTGCTCACAACGCACTACAAACCACCTGACCTCCTTGTTGCCTCTTGGTTGGCCCGTAACAACAGCTGTCGGCGACTGAGGATATTTGTCTGTTTGTTCTTCATCGTCTACTTCATCACTTCCTCTTTTTTCACCTTTATTATTAATATCACAACTATTTGACCGTTTAAAGAAACTTCTCACACTCAGCTGCTGTGAGATTTTTGCAACTGTACACAGCGGTGACAAAGAGGAGACAAAAGAAGGACAATCGCCATCAGCTGGACAGTAGTGGAAATTATAGTTAGCTACAAATTACAATAGATCCCCCTCAGCATAATCCGTCAAAATGATGGATCACCTTCGGATTTTTCCGTCACTGCTGAAAAAAAAAAAACGGCAATGACGGAAAATATTCGGTTAACGAGACCTCATATATATATATATATATATATATATTAAACTTAGATTTTTTTGTCAAAAGTCAGTCTGTAAAACCTCAGAGTTGATTTTTCAACATCAAAAGTCAAAGAATTAGATCAAGCTCCCAAAATCAATTTATTGCTGTAAATAAACAAAAACAACGCCAAATACATCATTCATTCATTCATTTTCTTCCCAGCTTAGTCCCTTTATTAATCCGGGGTCGCCACAGCGGAATGAACCGCCAACTTATCCAGCAAGTTTTTACGTAGCGGATGCCCTTCAAGCCGCAAACCCATCTCTGGGAAACATCCACACACACACATTCACACACACACTCATACACTACGGACAATTTAGCCTACCCAATTCACCTGTACCGCATGTGTTTGGACTGTGTGGGAAACCGGAGCACCCGGAGGAAACCCACGCGAACGCAGGGAGAACATGCAAACTCCACACAGAAACACCAACTAAGCCGAGGATCAAACCAGCGACCTTCTTGCTGTGAGGCGAACGTGCTACCCACTGTGCCACTGCGTCACCCACGCCAAATACAGAATCTGTTAATTAACAAATATTTTTTGACAGCATTCATAATTTCCTGGACGGATCCTGCCTGTATGCTAGCTAAACGCGGCCCTGATTTTGATTGACCTCAGATATATATTTATTTAATATCAGGATGAGAATATAAATATGACGTGCATAAATCTGCAGGGGTGAATTGTGGCGATGCAATTAATAAAAGTGTAGATATTATTTCTTATCTTGTTTCAATCTAATAAAATATCAATAAACGTTACTTTTGTTAAATGGCAGAGTTGACCTTTAAACATCAAAAGTAAAAGGATCAGAGATCAAGCTCCCAAAATGCAATTCATGACTGTAAATAAACTTAAAATACAGAAATTGTAAATAAACAGATTTGTTTTAACATCATGCATAATTTAATAAGCCAAACATCAAGAAAGATTGTGTCTGTATGCTAGCTCATGCCAAACATGGCCCTGACATTGATTGACCTCTGCGATGTTTAATATCAGGATGAGAATATAAATATGACGTGCATATGGGAATTGGGGGGCGATGCAATTAATAAAAGCTCAGAGTGTCGCTCTGAGAGATTTTTAATGAAAGTTCTGGAGTGCGGAAATGCCCTGAAATTGTCATTGTCAAAGTAGAGCCCACTAAATTGTGTAGCGTAAGTGCTCTAATGAAAGACATATTGGTTCCAGCTCTGGATTGTATCATGAAATCAAACTTTTATCATTCTGTTGCCTCATTTTTGGTAATGCAGTGTGGTTAACAAGCCTATAAAACACAGACCCTGGAGACGGGCCTCAGATTCAGAAAGCAGAGAAACATTCAGAATCAGAGTCCAATCGGTTCAGTGTGTCAGCGAGAGCCGTGATAAAGGGCAGCGCTTTTGGCTCGCAGACCAGGGACAAATGTCACAGATTTTTCACAGATCGCTCTGGCATTTGAGCCGGGGAAGTGAAGCTGGAGTCCTGCGTGCCAAGATATGGGCAGTATGTGGGCATGCTTCATGTGTACGTGTCTAATCGAATGAACAGGCCCGACGAGCAGCGTTTAATGCAGAGAGCAGCTGAACGCCGACTCAGTGTTGCTTTAGTAAATTAAAACTATTGCAGATATTAGGGTTTTCAGTTGTAGGATTGTTTTAGTGAGTACGGAAATTACTAAATAAAATAAATATACATATTTTTGCTAATTTAAAGGGTTGGTTCATGCTAAAATGAAATTAGCTCTAAATTTATTTTCTCTATGTGGTTTTAAGCTTTTGTTGAACACAAAAAAGTGTATTTATGAAGAATTCTAGTTCTTGACACCCTTGGATTATCTTTATTTGAGGAAAGAAAGTCAAATATTCTAAAAGGTAAAAATATTGTGGACGAGTCCCCACATGTAACCCACCTGTCCTACTGCACCCAACCTGGTCTGAGCTGGATTGAACCGCCGATTCTTTGCATGGCAGTTGGTTGCTCTAAGTGCGTTCACACCAAAAGCGGCAAGAGCATCCAAGTTCGCTCTGGCTGCCCTGGCGACAACGCTATCTGCCTTCAGCTCCGGCAAAATTCACTACACTCATCTCGAAGCTGTTGAAGCATTTCAGTTACATTCATGCATAAAACATGATCTCTAGCATGAAAATGTTGCGCACTTCTTATCAAATTCCTTTAATCATGAAAGATCAAGTTCTCCAATGTTTATCCAATGTGTCCACATGTCTGAAATATCCTGAAGCAGCAATACGGTTTTGTACTGTCGCATGAGATTCACGCTTCATTCATTCATTTTCTTGTCGGCTTAGTCCCTTTATTAATCCAGGGGCACTACAGCAGAATGAACCGCCAACTTATCCAGCACATTTTTTTACGCAGCGGATGCCCTTCCAGCCGCAACCCATCTCTGGGAAACATCCACACACACATTCACAATCCCACTCATACACTACAGACAATTTAGTCTACCCAATTCACCTGCACCGCATGTCTTTGGACTGTGGGGGAAACCGGAGCACCCGGAGGAAACCCACGCGAACGCAGGGAGAACATGCAAACTCAACATAGAAACTGTAAGAAAACATTGTAAATAACTGAAAATCCATGGACCACAATAATCAACCCCTTGGGAACAACTGTGGTTGGAACCAAAGTTCACAAGGTCACTGAACTCCTCTCAAGCGGTGGACTTCGTCAGTCGGATTGCTTGCTGCCGGACCGCGTCATAGCTCATTACCATAAAGTTGACTTGATTTCAACTCTCCTCGACGCCCACACTGGCAAAGACATGCCGTGCTTTTCCTCGCCGCTTATCGCCGCCAGCTCTCATTGAAAATGTAATGAACGTACGGTAACAAGAAGGCTAAAGACTATAGCCTCTATAGCGTCTGTCACTAGAGAACCTGTAAAGGAGTGAAGTTTCCCTGCACAGCACTTCACTAGCTGGCCTCCTTTACACTCACCCCCCTAAACCTCACTCCCATCCTGGATGAGACCCCACCGGTCCTACTGCACCCAACCCACGCCGATCTGGGATCA